TGTCATCAATTGTCCACAGTCATCAGTGTTATTGTCTGTTGATTGTGTGTATATTATCTAATTTTGCTTTCATGGATGTGGTTGCTGTTCCAGAACTTGTTTATTTTGACAGACTGCAGCCAATTTTGCACCCAAGGTTATTCTAAAATTCTAGCTTTCAGTTGGTTCATTATATTTTCTCTTTCATAACCTACTATGATAACCGTTCTGCCTCAATTTTCATTTTCCTTGTTTTCTTTGAACATTGGACCTTTCCCACTTGCTGTTTCAGTGGTTGCTTGGTTTCCTCGGTGTCCTACTTCAGTTCTTTCACTAGAGTGTTATTGTTGGCATTTATTTCTGGAAAGACTGAGTCATGAGCGATTTGCAGCTCTTTATTGTGTGCACTATGCACTTCCACCTGTGTTTTTTTAAACAGATGTGTCATTTTCTCCAGCATTGCTCAGATCTCAAATCAATATTTCTCTAGTCGTTTTTAGTAAGTCTGAATTCTTTTTTGTAAACTGGCAATTTTTTCATTGTATTAATAATACAGAACTTATAGATAATTCAGCTTCCCTTCTTTCTCTTTCAGTTATTCGTTCATCCTTGTGAGCTAAGTAGAGGTATCTCCAAAAGTCTTTCACTATCCCAGAGATGGCTGTCTGAGGTCCAGAATTATCCCGAGCTAGCTGTTTAGCCTTTTCTCATGAATTTTCATTTTTCTCTCCACAGCATGGAATGGAGATTTTAACTCAACTAATTCAGAAGAAAGTGAAGTGTACCATTCCTTTCATATTCAGATCTGCAAGTGTTAATTGAACATTCCTCTGCAGTTTCTGTTGTGTCTCTGGGGTCAGACCAGTTCCCTGGATTGCGACTAGTTTGAGGTCACTGTATACACTGTCGGACTAGCAATTACAATGTAGAATATCTGACATCCGGGTGGATTGAATGTACTTGCACTACTGATCCTGCTTTTAGAATTGGTGAACTGTTATATGCTGAAGATTTTACATTTATAGGTAACATGACTTCTAGTTGATGAATGCAGAAGGTTAATCTGACTGAATAGGTCTTCAAATATGGCCCAAACAGGGAGAAGGACTTACCTTTCCACCCTCCCCACTCACTTGAGGTGTGGTGGTACTCAGGTTAAACCAACACCAACTGTTTCTCTCAAAATGCAGGAGGTTTAGAGGGGAGTGGAGGAAAAACTTTTTCATCCAGAGAGTGGGAGTCTGGATGCACTGCCTGAGAGGGTAGTTGAGGCAGGAAAGCTCAACCTTCAAAACATACTTACATCGGCACCTGAAGTGTAATAATATTCAAGGCTATGGGCCTAGTGTGGGAAAGTGGGACTAGTGTAGGTGGTAATGTATTTTTGGCAGTACAGACTCAATGAGCTGAAGGGTCTCTTTTGTACTGTATGATTCTATGATTGAATACCTTTTGAGGATCTTTTAGTACTTCGGCTGTTAATCCTCATATGGACATTCTGACAACATGCTTTTGACCTTTCCATGCTTGTTTTCAAGCCAGAACATACCCTGATCACTTGTCTATCTCAAGTGTTAGAAACTGCCCTCTCAATAGGGATTTGTCTGCTTACCAACAAGCTCTCTTTTCAAGATTCTCTGATGCTGTAATGAATAATGACATTGAGGGCTGTCTCATGCACTTTCAGTATGATTTAAGGCTGTTGGCCACGTGTTTCAACTGTAAATCAAGTTGCATTGTTGTCTATCAAGCATGATAGGCCTCATCAGTACAATGTTTTCCACCACTGCTTAAAATGTCATGTTAATAATGATCGAATAATCAAATCGCTCATTTGGGATTATTTAACTGTGGGTTAGCTTAGCTAAAACAATAAAACACAAAGTAATAAAGCAGATGTTACAGCAAACCAAACGATTTGTGTTGTGCAGCTTACAGATTCATAACAGAATGGCAGACAGAGTCACAACCTTATACATGCATAGCACACAGAGTCCTTAATAGTGAAGGTAAGATGCACATAGCAGAACACACATTGTACTACTCTCCCAATTCTTCTTTCCACAGCATGTGATTTATTCAAGTGTTTCATTTTCCCTTAATCCTTCTGTGTAAAACAGGGAACAAGTGACTTTTTTTCTCTCAGCATGACAAGACTATTATTTAGGGTAAAAGAAATACAATCTCCCAGCAGTTTAACAGCAAGAATGCATCAGATAAGTTCCTATAACTATAATTCATGAATCATGAGGCATTTGACCTCAGCTAGAATGAAAGCAAAGGATACTGCAATTGCGTTTGAGGCTTCAGATTTAAGATGAGGAAAGTTTTTCACACAAAGGGTAGTGAGTGTCTAGAACATGGAAGCATTCAAGAAGCACCTAGACAAATACATGAATAGGAAGTGAATAGAAACATACGGATCCTGTAAGTGAAAATAGTTTTAGTATGGAAGGGCAAAATGTAGCGATGCAGGCTTGGACAGCCAAAGGGCCCGTTCCTGTGCTGTATTGGTCTTTGTTCTTCATTCCCATTCCTGCTTGCTAACATGGAAGCCAGCATGCAATAATGGTAGGTGAGCACATAATCTGCCCAGCTACAATATAGTGACCTCATCTCCAAGGTTGAGGAGCTTCTATCTGTAAGCTGACATGTGAAGAATTGGCACACAGAAGTACTGCCAGATTGTACATTCCAGACTGAAACCAAAATCTTTAGAAGGCAGGGAGCTAACAAAGAAAGTTAGTGGATTAGAATAAGAAAATATAAATACTATACTCAAGTATATAATCTTTTCTTTATATCAGAAATCCTGGCTCAAAATATACCACATTCTGTTGGAAATGGACTCAATGTATAATTCCTGTTTAAGAAGTTAGCTAATAAAGCATAACAATTTATACTACTTCATAAGTATTTGACAGCCTCCACTTTCATGATCTGCCTGTCATTGGAAACAAGCAGCTGATCTATTTCATCACAACAAAAAGTTAATTTTAACAGCGCAAGGGGAAAGAAAAATTCATTTCATGTCTGGCAGGACAGAAAGGAGGGTTAATAATCTCTACTGCAAGCTGACGAACTGTATTATCCCATTAGAGAAGCACATGCAGAGAGGAAAAAGACTGTTATCTTTAATTATTTGCAAGTGCACAGAATCAATTACCAGGGAAATGTGAACATAAAACAGAATATAAAATGAAATAATACAACTTTGTGATCTTTGTAAATAGACATTGAGTGCAAATAGAGTCAGATATCCCTCACATATTCCGGTTACATAGTATGTACATTAACGCAAGAACCAACATAATGACAACAAATGTCAAATGGTTGCTAATTTGCCTTTTTTTAAAGGAAATGTGGAATATTGGTGAATCTGTTGGATGACTCATCAGTCAATAGTACTCTATCAATTCTCAATGGCATTAAAAAGATCATGTACAGATTCCAAACAGTACAAAATCAATGTTAAGAAACCCACATGTTGCATGTTTAAATGTGAAAAAAGCAAATTTTTATGGGCTTATTTCAATGGTATTTGTGACCTTAATTTCAATTCAGAATTACTAGTGAAGAGAAAGGCTTTTAGAAATACTTAAATTAGCACATATATAAACTAATTGATTATTTCTGAAAAAGGGTCTAGGCCCGAAACATCAGCCTTCCTGCTCCTCTGATGCTGCTTGGCCTGCTGTGTTCATCCAGCTCTACACCTTGTTATCTCAGATTCTCCAGCATCTGCAATTCATACTATCTGATTATTTTGAATTCTGTTTTGTACCATTTCAGTTTTCTTCTGGAATGCAACAATTGTTCCAAATTTCTTTGAATTTTGTGTCATAATGTACACATTTTATAACAAGTGAATTTACAAGGAATGCAATTTTTCAGGTGCATGCAGTTTGGATAGAGGTGAGTGGTCACCTCCACCTTCACATTCCAAGGCGGATGCAGTAAATGAGGCAGAATTGCTTGCATGTTGTTGGATATTAGAACTCCTGCCTTTAATGGTCCAGCTACATGGAGAGCATGTATACCTATCTGGAATGGCTGACCCTGGTGGAAGCGAGTTTCAAAGGAGTTTTCTTTTACAACTTTTGCTTGCAGTAATGAAAAAAGCTTGGGCAATTTGTTTTTTTTTTCCCCAAGAGTTGCTCAGGATGTTTTCATACTGCCTCAACTTCCATCTCTAGAGATCACAACTCTATCACTGATAGAATTCTGCTAGGGGTCTGGGCTTTCAACAAATCATGCACCGTAAGCGGAGATGCATCATATATTCATAGATGATCATCTCAATAGGGAGTTCCATTTTGACAACTGCAGGGGATTTTTGTTTTAGTTCAACCATATTACAACACATTTCTGGATATCGTTTGGAAGGAAGACCTAGCGGTTTTTGGAACAGCCAAGCCACACTTAGAAGTTTCAAGCTTGTGTTCTTTTGAAGGGCACACAAGATACAAAAATTCCAAATCTATCTTGTTTTCTGCAGGATATCATAGTTGGGAGAAAGTAATTTTCCAAACGCAAATTACTGGTCCTCTAATTCTCATTCTAAGATTGTATCATGAATGGTTCCAAGATCTGTTATCGATAACAATCCAACAGCACACTGGAGACATATTGATTGTCAGAAGTTATCCGCTTCATTGTCAATTGGCCAAAGAAATTCTCATTTCTGTACACACATTTTATTGACAGATCTTAGGAAATCAACGTGTGGAATTTCCAAAAAAGGTGGTGCATATTGTAAATGGAAGTGAACATCTTAAAATAAGATCACCATTTATTTTCAATCCATCAATTCTACATGTCTATTTTCTCTAATTAAAGCTGGTATAATAGTTCTTCAATTAATTTTCAGAATTTAATCAATATTGACAAATAAAGTTATCTGAAGAGCCGCTTTGCAAATAGGCCTCCTTCACCACAGCACTGTATTAATAATTGAACTGTGTTATGAATTGAAATTAGAAATATCAGACAAATACACCAAATTGGCACTTGTACCTTACCTTTCTGCAGTCTTGACAGAAAACAGATGTTGATCCCAGAAATCCAAGTAACTCTCCACATAACAAGCACTGAGCTAGACCATTTCCCATCACATTCTTCTTCATATTTTCCAAACGTTCAACAAGGCGACTAGATCACAAAAAGAAACTGAAATAAATTTATCGCATAACTGCAACATCTCAAAAATCAAGTTATTTTTAACATTACAATATTTTTAAAAATGCGCTATTTTGGGCACTTTGAAGTTTACGATATTTCTTTTGATTTAGGTTTAGCTCACCCACCTCTTTGCAGTAAGCAAACAATATTAATAGCTTGCTCCCACAAAGTCTTCAATACCAATGGAGCACACTGGTGATGATGATTAATTTTTTACGCAACCTGTTTCTATGAGAGAAACTTAGTTTCTGTTCAGTGTCTTCCTGGATCTGCAAAGCACAAATTGTGGGCTTGGTAAAAATCCAAGAATTAACTTGTAACTACTCAACCTAAAACAGCAAGATATAGTGCAGTGGTAGTGTCCCTGTCTTTGTGCCAGGAGACTTGGGTTCAAGCGCCACATGCTCCAGAGGATCTCTAAATAGGTTGATTAGAAAATATATTTTAAACAGACAAAAAAACTCTGTCCAGAACATTTATCAGCAAACACAGTCTTATATAATTTATCAGAAGCTCCTTTCAATAAGTAATTTGGAACTTTCTAAATGAAAACCTGAATGCATTAAATAAAGATATAACTTGCAATCTAATTATCTTTAAGCACATGGATATGCAGTACCACTTAGTTTCAAATTCGCTTGTTTGACCAGGCTTTCGGGCATTGGGAGAGGTGTAGAGAAGCAAGAATGCCTAAATGCCAAGCAAACACTTCTGCCACAAGAACGAAAAGGCTATTGAAAAGGTTGATGACAGCAGCTTACTCCCAGAATATAGGTTGCAATGCCAAAAGAAGTTCTATGACCTCACCAAGAGGGTTAGAAGGCAAATATTTCTAATAAGAAGAGAGAAGACAAAGGAATGAAGAATTCTCAATTTCGATACTCAAGGGCTTTTTTCACATCAGCCATGATATTATTCTGAAGTAGATAGAGATCCATCTGTTGTCTTGCCCCTTCTAATGGCATTACACGGTACTTACATGACAGAAATATGTCATTCAGCACAACTGGCATATGCTGGTGTTTCTTTTTCTTCACATGAGCATCCTCCAATCATATCAGCATATATTATGTTGCTTTGTCTCTCATGTAATTCAAGTTTTCTTTTAATTTATCTATGCTATTCACCTCAACTACTCCACATGGAGTTGAATTCCAAATTCAAACCACTGTTTAGATGACAGGATTTTACTTGATTTCTTCTTTAGTCTTTAGTTTTGGATTCCCCTACAAATAGAAAAATCTTCTCTGATCTAACTCATCAAGCCTCTACATATTCTGGAGACAGTGCCTCTCTCCACCCTGTTCTGCATGTTCTGACAGTTATAATCACCCAATTCTGGTACCCTCCTTGTAAAGTCTTTCCAGCACCTTCTTAGATGTCTCTGCATTATTATTCAATATTATGGAGGCCAGAATTGTGCAGTGTTCTAAATGTCTCCAATTATACAACTTTAGCTAAAAACTTAGATAATTGACAAGGTGTGATCCTAAATAATAAAACCGAGCGCAATATTTACCCATTTTTGTCCCTTTCAACTTGCGTTGTTATTTTTAATAATTTATGATTCTGCATGATATTTTATAAAAATTACAAGGGCTCCTTATTCCTTCAACTGCAATGCACTTACTAATACTCATCTATATTTTTACGAAATTACCACTTACATGCCCATTCTGCAAATTTATTAATATTTTGCACGATGTCATATTATTCCTCCCCGAATTAACTATTCTCCTGAATTCGGTGTCAATCATTTACATAAATGATGAACAATTCCAAAGAATCAGTATCTAGCACCCCCCAGAGTGGGAAAATACATAAAAATCTTCAACACTTCCCTTTTACATCTCACTTTAAAGTTCTTGCTTGACTTTCAACACAAGATTCCAACTATTCACTGTTTGAATAGTTGTCCCTCATAACAATGGCATTTTTCAATTCCATACAGGATAGTATAAAGTGCAGCATATCAAGTTGCATTACCGCATCAAAAAGATTCTATTACTACAAATCTCTGCAGGGTGAGGTTACCAAATTCTTTAAATAATAATAATAATTTTATTCCATCCAAACAGATTTTCCATACCCAATCCGCTTCTGTTCAACCAGATCCAGACTTTCTGCCCTTTTGATGACATCAAGAATAACTGCAATCTCCTTCTTAGTTAGGATCTGATTTTGCCGCTGTTTCTCGGACTCATTAGAGTGCACAGACCAACCAGTTTTGAGTCTATTGCAAAGAGAACATGACAAAGTTTGTTTTTATTTTTTCCCCAACAGACACACATACTAAAATTTATTAAATTACAGGAGCAGAGAAGTCTAAACCGTTGACAACTTCAAAATCAGTCATATTCTAAGGGTCATAGAATGAACATCCTGTAACATGTGGAGATCTTTGGATGGGGTTCTCATGGCTAGGCCAACCAGAATGTGCAGAAAGCAGCTCATGGCATCAGAGTTTAAGCAGCAGCTAGCATGCAATGAATCTGCAAGTTTGAGTCTTGTAGATAGCACATTTCTATGGATAAACGAGTGCTAGCAGGAGGATATGGTTGACCACCAGATGGTTGAGGAAAACCAACTAAGTAATGCAAGAGTCCCCAGAGTCTAAATACTGGTGAGAGTAAATTTCCTCTGATAAGTACAGTCAGACCATGGCTCAGATGTACTGGGAGATAACAAAGCTGGGAAAGCAATTGACAAAAGGGGATTTGATATTTAGGGGAACAGAAAAGTGCAGGCATGAATCCAAGATGGCATGTTGTTTCCCTGGTGCCAGGGTTGAGGATGTCACTGAGCAGTTGCATAGCACCCTGAAGATGGGGGGAAAGGAAGGAGATGGGAGGATGAAAAGATAGTGGCTGTGATCTGTATCAGTACTAATGACATGGATAGCAAGAAGGATTGGGTCTGGCAGGTACAGTTTAAGGAGCTCTGAAAGAAACTAGCAAACTAGGTCTTGAAATCAGTAATCTCCTGATTCCCCTCTTTCTCATGTGCTCCTGGGTCCTGAAATGAGAGAACAGAAAAGGAGAGTAAATGATTAGCAAGCTGGTGCAGAAAGGAAGGCTTTATATTTCTGGGACATCTGAAGCAGCTCTGGGGAAGTTGGGGAAACCAGTACACACTGAATGAGTGGCACCCGAATAGATGGAAGACCAAATGTTCCTAGAAGGTGGTTTGCTAGAGCTATGAAGGAGGGTTTTAACTAACTTGACATGAAATGGAATCGAGGAGGTAATATCAGAGAAGAAATTTAAAGGTGCAAGAAGCAGGGCAGCATAGTGGCTCAGTGGTTGGCACTGCTGCCTCACAACACCAGGGAACCAGGTTCAATTCCACCTTGGATGACTATGTGGAGTTTGCACATTCTCCCTGTGCCTGCATGCATTTTCTCCGGGTATTCTAGGTTTCTCTCACAGTTCAAAGATGTGCAGACTACGTGGATTAGCCATGGGAAATGTGGAGTTACAGGATGGGATAGGCTGCTCTTTGAAGGGTTGGTGTGACTCGATGGGCTGAATGGCCTGCTTCCAAGGTGTAGTGATTCTATGAGGCTTTTAAGAGGGATAGCATTGAACCAAGCAAAGATATTAGGTAGAAATATAATAAGAAGGAATGCAATAAAGCCCAATTCTAGTTTGTAATGCATTTAAGTGAACTCACAGAGTATCACAAGATTGGTGAGCAGCATTCCCTTTAATTTCCTTATCGGCTGCACAGGCAGTGATTTCCAAAACAAGAAGTGTGCCAACATTAATCACCATGCATAGAACCTTGGAGCAGTTGCTGGGGAGGTGCAGGCAGAAGTAGATGTGCGCGAATATGTTGTTGTGGCAATAACAGAGACCTGGCTGAAAAAAAAAAGGCAGGATTGTGCCTGTACACAAGATGTTCAGAAAATATAGCGAAAGAAAGAAAATGGGAGGGGTAGCACAATTGATTTGCAATGCTGGACAGAGATGACATCTTAGGAGAGTCAAGGAGAAAAAAAAAAAGATATTTTTCAATTTCAAGAGCTAATTATTACGTGACTTAGTACATTCTATAGGTCACTAACTAGTGGGACATATATAGAACAACTTTTCAAGAAATTACAGAACGGTACAAGAGCTAGAGAGCACTTACAGTGAGATTATTAATACCTGCACTGGGATAATAATTAATAGTAAAAAGGGCAGAGAGGAGAAAATTTCTGAATGGTATTCAAGATGATTTTCTACATCTGTGTTGTTGCTCCCAATTTGTGATTGGCTCAAGATGGGTGTTGGTGTTCAAAACTTAAGCATGGAAAGCAGATTACAAGCAGTTATAGATGTGACAAGAAAATGAATGTGTCCCAGAGACCTAACATATTACCAATAAATACAATGCTACATACTAAGCAGTGGCATAGCATGAAGGGGTGCAAATATAAAAGGCTGAATTTTATATGTCAACCATTGGTTGGCAAAGAGGTGGACAGACCCATGAATTAGGGTGCCATGTTATGCCATCAACAGCTGCTATAGTCCACCTACCACTGGCGGCATTGATAGGTCACCTGCCTGTGGCCTGACAGAGGCCCTTAAGCAGGTAATTAAGGACCACATCCCACCATCACTCTGATACAATGGATGACAAGCGAGGTCTGCACCCAGCTTATAGCTCAGCAGCTTTAACTTCACAGGCTATTGGTCAGTGAAAAGGTATGTGGCTTCCTTCCAAATCCTTCCTGTTCAATTTAGAGACTCCCATAGTTTGCTTTCCCTTCACCAATTCTTCTCCCTTCAGTCCTGTTCAACATGACGCCACCCCACCTCACTGGGGACTTTCAAACTGGCCCTGGAGGGATTTGAGACTTGCATCAATGCACAGCTCCATTGCTGACCACCTCCTATCTCCCGCACCAGAGGTGCTCCTGCTTGTGGCTACTGTTCTTCCCGTCTGCCAGACTCTGACTGGCCAGGAGTTCAATGATGCAGGACATTCTCCTGCCAAGGGAGATTCTCCCCCCATCCCCCAGACTAAAACTAAAAAGGTGTTTGACTCAAAAAATTAAAGCAAAGCAACTAAGAATCTATAACTATAGGTGAGGAGCCAGATGACTGGTGAGTGGTTAATGTTGTGCCTTTGTTTAAAGAGGAATGCAAGAAGCAGCCTGGGAACTATAGACCTGTGAGTAAATTGTTGGAAGTGATTCTGAAAGATAGCATTTATATGCATTTGGAGAGAAAAGGAATGATTAGGGATAGTCAGCATGGTTTTGTGCAGGGGAAATTATGCTTCACAAACTTGAGTCTTTTTGGTAACTTCCCAAAAAAACTGAAGAGGCTAGAGCGGTAGCCATTGTTTACACAGACTTTAGTAAAGCCTTTGACAAGCTTCCACATGGTAGACTAATTAGTAAAGTTAGATTTCATGGCATTCAGGGTGAGCTTGCCAACTGAATACAAAAGTGGCTTAACAGCAGGAGACAGAGTGGTAGTGGAGGGTTGTTTTTTGGACTGGAGGCCTGGTACCAGTGGTGTTCCACAGGGATCAGCGCTGGGACTGTTTTTGTTTGTTATTTATATAAAAGATTTAGATGAGAATATAGGTGGCATGGTTAGTAAATTTGCAGATGACACCAAAATTGGAGGTATATTGGACAATGAAGAAGGTTATCTAAGACTGCAAAGAGATCTTGATCGATTGTATCAATGGGCTTAGGAGTGGCAGAAGGAGTTTAATTTGGACAAATGAGAGGTATTGCATTTTGGTAAAACGAACAATTGAAAGTAGGGCCTTAGATAGCATCGTACAACAGAAAGACCTAGAAGTTCAGGTACACAATTCTTTGAAGTTTATGTCCATGTATACAGGGTGGTTTAGCACGCTTGCCTTCATTGTATAGAAGTTGGGACATCATGTTGAGGTTGTACAGGACATTGGTGAAGCCTCTTCTGGAGTACGGTGTCCAGTTCTGGTTGCCCTATTATAGGAAGGATATTATTAAACTGGAGAGGGTTCAGAAAAGATTTAACAGGATGTTACTGGGAATGGAAGGTATGAATTATAAGGAGAGGCTGGATAGGCTGGGACTTTTTCACTGAAGCATAGGAGGTTTAGCAGTGACCTTATAGAGATTTATAAAATCATTAGGGTGACTGGCAGGTGGTTTTTCATAAGGGGCATATTTTTAAGGTGAGAGAAGAAAGATTTATAAAAAGGACATGGGGGAAACTTCTTTTAAATAAGAGTGTGGTTAGGGTGTTGAATAAACGTCCAAGGAAGTGGTGGATGCAGGTAAATACATGGACACAAACTTCAAAGAATTGTGTACCTGAACTCCTAGGTCTTTCTGTTGTACGATACTACCTAAGGCCCTACTTTCAATTGTATAAGTCCTGCCCTTGTTCATTTTACCAAAATGCAATACCTCATTTGTCCAAATTAAACTGCTCCTCTGATGCTGCTTGGCCTGCTGTGTTCATCCAGCTCTACACCTTGTTATCTCAGATTCTCCAGCATCTGCAGTTCCTACTATCTCTGAAGGAATTTTGCAGAGATTATTTTTCCCCACATGTACTTTGGTTTCTTCTTCCCCTCACTAAACTTGGTAAGTTTTTAAATCAACCTGTTTGTACATGTCATGACACGCATCTGTGGCAGGTGGGACTCATACCCAGATTTTTGCTAGCTGAACTCAAAAACAGCCTACAAGAACAATATACATTTTTGTTAATAGACATGTTTAATCAACTTGTTGATGTGTTATGACACACTTCTGCAGCAGGTGGATCTTGTAATGGGCCTCTGGCTCAAAGGTAGGGACACTACCATTGTGCTACATGAGCACTCCTCCAGAATTTGTATCGTTGGCTGATAAGTGGGGAGATCCTTCATTATGCAGAGGAGCTGCATTTTGACAGTTCAATTTGCTTGCTCCTTCCCAAAATGCACTTTCAATAATTGAGGATGTATTAATGTCACAAGTCATAGGGCTCGACACATATTAGTCCAAACTGATGGACATTTATTAACTACTTACACTACATACAGGAGGCAGGACAGAGCAGGATTCATGTGATCTGACATCACTGTTGAAGTCTGGCTATTGTCATGTAGTTATTAGTCCCATATACTACCGAAGATGCCCAGAGAAACTCAGTATGGAGAAGCCAACACGTATTTGAATGTTAAATAAAAACTGAAAGAACTGCGGATGCTGTAGTTTTGAGGAAGGGTCACCGGACCCGAAACGTTAACTCTGATTTTTTTCTTCACAGATGCTGCGAGATATGCTGAGCTTTTCCAGCAACTGTTTTTGTAATGTATTTGAATGTATTATTCAGATGATCACTCATGGGTTCTACTCATATTCTTGAATGTATCTTTTTAAATATTTAACCCACGCTATGAGCAGCAACAAGACGGAACGGGAGAAAAAAAAAAGGGCTGTCTTTGGGTGAGATGGAATGAAAATGAGCAACAGGGAAAGATGACCTTGGAATTCAGGCAAACAACAACAGGAAGTGGAGAAAGGCAGAAAGGAGATTCATCAAGCAACAAGCCTAATTTTTATAGGATTCTTAAGGAGGTGGTACATCACTAAAACAAGCAAGTGCAATGGATCAAGTGCAACATTTGACACTTACAGGTAAAAGACATCTTTCCCTGCAGACAGAAATCCCAGACAACAGGAAGATTTAAATTTGTAGAAGAGAAAATCCTGAAAGTATGTTTCCTTTCTAAACCATTTTGACTTAAACTGCACACAGGAAGTATTCTGGACCTGTTTAAAATACGGAATACAATTTGCACAATTACTCACTTGGCTCGAAGGGCAAGTTGTCTGTCATTAGGACACACCCACTGATCCGTTCCACTTCCGAATATAGTGTCAGCCATGATTCCTGCCTGCAGGAATGACTGGGGAGGAAGATGTAATTGTCAATATTTTAATAGTGCAACCAAACAGGTTTTTAGGTTATTAAAAATACTATGGTTGGATATAAATACAAATTAACTCTATATCAATATGGGTTCAGCAAAATTAGATAATCCAGATGTGGGGTTGAATCCTTTGTTTTGTTGTCTACATCCAAGTTGTATCAAGTTTTGTGGAGGATTTGTTGCCACGAGGCCTAACGACTCACTACGTCTTACAAAATTCACTTCATTAATTACCCACCATACCCCAAAGACATTTCTTACATTAAATTTCTGCTCCATCATACCACGTCATTCCCAGAACAACACGCCACTTTCCAGCTATTAAAACAGTGGCATCCCTTGCATCTATGTCTTGTTCAAAAGCCTATTGTGCACCCAAACACCATCAAACTAGAGCTGACCTGCAGACAGCCCACACTGCAGGCAGGGTCCTGGAAGTCCTGCTGGATGGGATGATGCAGAGGTGGGACTTCCTCCACTCTACTAGTGGAGACCATGATGCGTGGTTGCCATTTGGAGGAACACTCAGCAATGGTCAATGACCTTCTCCATTCCACCGGCAGAAGTATCACCATCTTCTTGCTAATGACTCACTACTACATACACCTCCCACTAATTTCATGCTCTATGACTCTTGCTATTGCCTGCAAATCTTCCCCACTCACTCCCATTGACCTAATACCACTCATCCCATACGCCCTCCGCACTCCATTCAGGACACTCACACCCGCACGAGCAGTAATAGCTGTGCCGCCCACATTCTTCTCCTATAATACTTGCCTCTTTCTCTTTCCAGGAGGAAAACAGCCCAAAATAGGGCAAAAAGACTCCAGATGGGTGGAGGGCTGCCCAACATTCACAGCCTCACCTCTTGAGGATAGGATCCTGACTCTGACAGGCCCATTGTGGGTCTGGATTAGATTTGGAGGCTCCCCTTGACATACTTTGCTGGAATCCTGAGCAAGAGCTATTCCCTTTGACTTGACAGAGGACTGTTAACAACAATGACAAGCTTCTTGGCTTTCTGTCTACATTATATGGAAAGGGAAAACAGCATAACATGAACCTGGTATCCCTGGCTGAGGAGGCAAGGTGCAAAAAGGCAAGGCAAGGATGCTGAGCATCCAGATAATGCTCCTGCACTCAGAGCCTATGTGCGCGAGCAAAGATGGCAGAGATGCAGCCTGCACACATGGCCCTGAGTACACTGCTTGCTGCAGTGTTACAATATTAACAGCTGCCGGTGCAGCACTGAGGTGCAAAAGCACCCTGTAAAGTAGATCAAAGATGTGCCATGAGATTTCTTAGAGATTGCATGTCGAATGTCAATGTTCATTGATGTGGGGTGCACATGGATGGTGCCCATGGAACACATCTTGAGATGTCAGTGCTCGGTTTCCAACATGAAAATCGTTCAGGGCAAGTGGTGAGCTGAATCCACGAGGTACCCTGTCTGGTTTCCATGTCGAATCTTTGTGACGTTAAGCTTGTTTGGAGAGTCTGATAAAATGGGAGAATGAAACAGAAACATAGAAGATGGGAGGAGTAGTAGGCCATTCAACAACTCAGGCCTGCTCTGCCATTCAGTATGATCATGGCTGATCATCGAGCTCAATACACTAATCCCACCTCCCCCAACAACCCTTGATCCCTTTAGCCACAGGAGCGACATCGACCTCCTTTTTGAAAACAATGTTTTAGCCCCAACCATTTTCTATGTTAGGGAATTCCACAGGCTCACCACTCCCTCTGGGTAAAGAAATTTCTCCTCATCTCAGTCCCAAGAAGGTTTACAGAACATAGAACATAGAACAGTACAGCACAGCGCAGTATAGGCCCTTCAGCCCACGATGTTGTGCCGAACTTTTACCCTAATCCTAAGGTCTATCTATCCTCCACCCCTACCTTATACTATCATCCATATGCCTATCTAATAGCCACTTAAAAGCCCTAATGAGGCCGACTCCACTACCCTCTCTGGCAATGCATTCCATGTCCCGACCATTCTGAGTAAAGAACCTACCTGTGATGTCTCCCCTATATCTACCTCCACTCACTTTAAAACTATGCCCCCTCATAATAGCTACCTCCACCACAGGAAAAAGTCTCTTTCTGTCCACTCTATCTATACCTCTGATCATTTTGTACACCTCTATCGAGTCACCTCTCATCCTTCGTCATTCTAAAGAGAAAAGCCCTACCTCTCTCAACCTTTCCTCGCAAGACCTTCCCTCCATTCCAGGCAACATCCTGGTAAATCTCCTCTGCACATTTTCCAACACTTCCACATCTTTCCTGTAATGAGGCGACCAGAGCTGGACACAATATTCCAGATGTGGCCAAACCAGGCTTTTGTATAGCTGGAGCATAACTTCACGGCTCTTGAACTCAATCCCTCTATTAATGAAAGCTAACACTCCACACGCCTTCTTAACAACTCTATCCACCTGGGTGGCAGCTTTCAGGGAACTGTGGACATGAACCCCAAGATCCCTCTGCTCCTCCACACTGCCAAGAATCTTTCCGTTAACCCTGTATTCTGCTTTCAAATTTGTCCTTCCAAAATGAATCACCTCACACACTTTTCAGGGTTAAACTCCGTCTGCCACTTCTCAGCCCAGCTCTGCATCCTATCAATGTCCCTTTGTAAACTAGAACAGCCCTCCGCACTATCCACAACTCGACCCAGCTTCATATCGTCCACGAACTTACTAATCCACCCTTCCACTCCTACATCCAGATCATTTACAAAAATCACATATAGAAGAGGACCCAGAACAGATCCCTGTGGTACACCACTCGTAACTGAGCACCATGTTGAATATTTTCCATCCACTACCACCCTTTGTCTTCTAAGGGTCAGCCAATTCTGAATCTAATCTGCCACATTTCCCCCTATCCCATGCCTCCTTACCTTCTGCATGAGCCTACCAGGGGGAACCTTATCAAACGCCTTACTTAAATCCACGTATACCACATCCACTGCTCTACCTTCATCAACGTGTTTGGTCACCTCTTCAAAGAATTCAATAAGGTTTGTGAGGCATGATCTACCCCTCACAAATCCATGCTGACTATCATGAATCAAACTGTGCCTTTCCAAGTGATCATAAATCCTATCTCTCAGAGCCTTTCCAATAACTTGCCCACCACTGACGTAACTAACTGGCCTGTAATTTCCGGGGTTATCCCTATTCCCTTTTTTGAACAAGGAAATGACGTTTGCCTCTCTCCAATCTTCCGGCACTATGCCCGTGGATAGTGAGGACGAAAAGATCATCGCCAAAGGCCCTGCGATCTCTTCTCTTGCTTCCCATAGAATCCTTGGATAAATCCCATCAGGCCCAGGGGACTTATCTTTCTTCAAGTTCCTCAAAATTCCTAGTACATCTTCCCTACTAACATCGACCTCCTCTAGCCTACTGGTCTGTTTCACGCTGTCCTCCTCTACAACTAGGTCCCTCTCAGTAGCGGATACCGAAGAAAAGTATTCATTAAGGACCTCTCCTATCTCTTTAGGCTCCTTTACAATTCTTGATCGGTCCTACCCTTTCTCTGGTCATTCACTTATTCCTCACGTATGTGTAAAAAGCCTTGGAGTTTTCCTTGATCCTATCTGCCAAGGTTTTCTCATGCCCCCTTATAGCTCTCCTAAGCCCTTTCTTCAGCTCCTTCCTGGATAACTTGTATCCCTCTACAGCCTTTTCCATTCCTTGTTTCCTAAACGTTATATAAGCATCCTTCTTCCTCTTGACCAGTCGTTTGACTGCTCTTGAGAACCAAGGCTCCCTCACTCTACCGCATCTTCCCTGCCTGCTAGGGACAAACATATCGAGCACACGCAGTATGCATTCCTTAAACAATCTCCACATTTCAATAGTGCTCTTCCCTGACAGCATCTGTTCCCATTTTATGTTACCCAGCTCTTGTCTAACAGAATTGTAATTACCCTTCTCCCAATTATAAACCTTATCCTGCTGTATGTACCTATCCTTTTCCATGACTATTGTACAAGTAATAGAGTTATGATCGTTACCGCCAAAATGCCCTCCTACCAAAAAGTCTAACACTTGGTCCGGTTCATTGCCAAGCACCAAATCCAAAGTGGCCTCTCCTCGTGTTGGTTTATCTACGTACTGTGTCAGGAATCCTTCCTGAATGCACTGGACAAAATCCACTCCATCTAAACTATTACAACTAGAAAGTTTCCAATCAATATTTGGAAAGTTGAAGTCACCCATGACTACAACCCTGTGACTTCTGCACCATTCCAGTATCTGCCTTCCAATCTGCTCCTCCACTTCTCTGCAACTATGAGGGGGTCTGTAAAAAATGACCACAACCTTATCCCACATCCTTAAACCATGACCCTTGGTTCCTGACTCCACCATCACTAGAAATATCTTTCCTGCCTAGTCCTGTTGGAATTTTGTTGGAATTATGAGATCCCCACTCATTCTTCTAAACGCCAGTGAATATAATCCTAACTGACTCAATAACTCCTCGTGTTTCAGTCCTGCCATTCCAGGAATCAATTTGATAAACTTTCACCGCACTCCCTCTGTCTCAAGAACATCATTCCTCAGATAAAGAGACCAAAGCTGCACACAATATTCCATGTGTGGTCTCACCAATGTTCTGTATAATCTTGTACTTGAATATTATTGAGGCAAATTGTGGTGTTAACAAGGCATTTGAAAAGTATCAATCCCCATCAAGTGACATTTCACCACTGCCTGGCAAGTACCATACTGCTTGTGAAAAGTATAAAGGATGGAGTAAGATGATCTTGACACAGAGATGAGCCTCCTCCCACCTGCTGTCCGGTTCTGCCACACTTTGCGGCATAGACCACTCAGACCTTAATAAGATTCCACTTGTGGTCTTCGAAAAAGGATTGATAGTCCTTGAACATCTGACATTGGGAGTTCAGATTTACCAGTTTAGCTTAAAATATATTTATAAGAATTGCTATC